CAGCTCCAGACTTATTTGTTCATTAATGACGTCATCAGCGACTAGTCGGCTTCGACTCGACTTTCATCACATAAAAGTCGACTTTAACAAATCAGAAGTCGTTCAACCCCTAATATATATATATATATATATATATATATGAAATAAAATATCTATTTATTTATCTAATTTATTTTAGATGTTTAATTTATTAGCCGATATTAAATTAAATTTATTGCCGATATTTGTGTTTAGTTTAAGATTACTTATGCTTTTTTTTTATTTTACAAAGTAATGTAGACTTATGTTGGCAATAACAAAAATAATATTTCCATATTGATTGCGATTTCCATCATGGGCCAGCTGAACACTTTTTTATAACTACGAATACATTTACACTGCCGTTCAAAAGTTTGGGATCAGTAATAATTTTAAAAGTGTTTTAAATAATTTTCTTCTGCTCATCAAGGCTGCATTTATTTCATCAGAAATACAGAAAAAAACTGTAATATTGTGAAATATTATTGCAATTTAAAATAATGTTTTTCTATTTTAATATACTTTAAAATAACATTTATTTCTGTGATGCAAAGCTGAATTTTTATTGCCGATATTTGTGTTTAGTTTAAGATTACTTATGCTTTTTTTTTATTTTACAAAGTAATGTAGACTTATGTTGGCAATAACAAAAATAATATTTCCATATTGATTGCGATTTCCATCATGGGCCAGCTGAACACTTTTTTATAACTACGAATACATTTACACTGCCGTTCAAAAGTTTGGGATCAGTAATAATTTTAAAAGTGTTTTAAATAATTTTCTTCTGCTCATCAAGGCTGCATTTATTTCATCAGAAATACAGAAAAAAACTGTAATATTGTGAAATATTATTGCAATTTAAAATAATGTTTTTCTATTTTAATCTACTTTAAAATCTGATTTATTCCTGTGATGCAAAGCTGTATTTTCAGCATCATTACTCCAGTCTTCAGTGTCACATGATCTTCAGAAATCATTCTAATATGCTGATTTATTATCAGTGCTGGAAACTGTTGTGTTGCTTAGTATTTTTTTGGAACCTGTGATACTTTTTTTCAGGATTCTTTGATGAATAAAAAGTTAAAAAGAAGAGCATTTATTTAAAACAGAAATCTTTTCTAACAATATACACTACAGTTCAACAGTTTGGGGTCAGTACATTTTTATTCTCTCTTTTTTTGAAAGAAATTAAAACTTTTATTCAGCAAGGATGTGTTAAATTGATAAAAGTGATAAATACTTATATTGTTATAATACATTTCTATTTTAAATAAATGCTGTTCTTTTTAAATTTTTCATCAAACAATCCTGAAAAAAGTATCACAGTTTCCCAAAAAAAAAAAATATTAAGCAGCAAAACTGTTTCCAACATTGATAATAAATCAGAATATTAGAATGATTTCTGAAGATCATGTGACATTGAAGACTGGAGTAATGATGCTAAAAATTCAGACTTGCAATCACAGAAATAACTTATATTTTAAAGTATATTAAAATAGAAAACCATTATTTTAAATCAGTTTTTTCCCCTGTATGTTTTGTCAAATAAATGCAGCCTTGATGAACAGAAGAGACTTCTTTAAAACATTAAAAATCTTACTTTTGAACAGCAGGGTATATACATGCATACATATACTGTATATTTTCATAGTAAAATGGCTTGCTCACTCTCTGCTTGGACAAATGCCTGTTCTAACCTTTTTTGAAAGAATTTGGATATATTTCTGGGTGACAGAAGCTGATCCGAGCTTTACAAGCATTTTCAAGCTGGTGCTTCTTTTCGACAGCCCCGCAAACAGCACTGCATGATGGGAACAAAAAGGCAGCCTGCCATAGATGCGGCGATGACCCTAATCATGGCGCATCTGCTACGATGATGTCTCTCATCAGACGGCATGTTGCCGCTGAACCAATCACGTCTCTGCTGTGATAAGGCAAGAGCCAATCAATGCACGCTAGATTTGATTACAGAAGCTCAAAGGCTGATAACCTTGGGAATGATCTGAGATCCTCTTCTGTGAAAAGCGGGAAGAATCGAAGCGATGATAACGCCCGTGTTAGTATCTGGTATAATAGTGAACATTAAAAAGAGAGATTTCATTAGACGCTGGTTGAAACTGGAGGTCAGGACGGAAAGGCCAGCGCTGGATGATGAGTGAACCGCACACACATTATTTTACAACTGCCGTAAACCTGCAGCACAAGGACCGTGTCACAGCATCAGCTAGTGCAATGAATCCTTAAAGCGCAGGAGGAAGGGAACGGCAGAGAACGGAGGTGAGAAAGAGAGAGAAAGACATGCTGTTTGTAGTTAGTGATCATCTCAGCGTTCAATAGAACATGACTCCTCATGTTCTCATGTGAATAAGTGATGAAGATGGTCATGTGCAGGTTTTCTGGATGAATTGCGATGGCAGGGAGTGCTGCTGTACAAGGATGCTCAATGAAAACACACCTCCCATGAGAGAGAGAGAGAGAGCGAGAGAGAGAGAGAGAGAGAGGGGGGCTTTCACTCCGTGAGAATATGGGAGGAACCAAAAGAGGAGGGAAGGCAAGATGTTGTCAGTTTAGTGTTTGGTAGGGGAATGTACTTTTTCCAAATGAGCAAAGATCTGCCTTCAAGCCACACTGATCTGCAAGGACACGTATATGCAAGTGAGAGAGAGAGAGCGAGAGAGAGAGAGAGAGAGAGAGAGAGAGGATGGAGAGAATGAGAGGAGACAGCTGCGCATACCTCAAATATCTAAAAACATTCACAAGATTCTGCTGCACTCCATTAAGCAGCGCTGTTTGTTGTTAGGATCACAAAAAGATTTAATAGTTATTCTTAGGCTGCTCATCAATGTCAAACTGATTGAGCTGGGCCAATCAAATCAAAGTAGGCGGGGTTTACTATTCCAGCGGCAGTGTAACGTTGAAAGAGAGCGAGGTAAGATGAAACTAGCGAAACATTTAATATTTGACAACAGAAATGTTAAAGGGTTAGTTCACCCAAAAATGAAAATTCTGTCATTAATTACTCACCCTCGTGTTGTTCGAAACCCGTAAGACCTTCGTTCATCTTCGGAACACAATTTAAGATATTTCTGATGAAATATGAGGGCTCTCTGACCCTCCCATAGACAGCAAGGTAACTACCACGTTCAAGGTCCAGAAAAGTACCAAGATGATCGACAAAGTAGTCCGTGTGACATCAGGGGTTCAACTGTAAAGTTACGAAGCTACGAGAATACTTTTTTACATACTTTTTCATTACGCCGGATCTGGGTCAGCGCCGGCGCCGCCACACGCTCGCGTCATGATACTGTCGTGAATGCGCGTCCACAAGTGACGCAGTAGAGACGAAAATGTGGAATAAAGATGTTATTTTTGTTTTCATTGCGCAAAAAAGTATTCTCGTAGCTTCGTAACTTTACATTTTGAACAACTGATGTCACACGGACTACTTTGTCGATCATCTTGGTACTTTTCTGGACCTTGAACGTGGTAGTTACCTTGCTGTCTATGGGAGGGTCAGAGAGCCCTCAGATTTCATCAAAAATATCTTAAATTGTGTTCAGAAGATGAACGAAGATCTTACGGGTTTCAAAAAGCATGAGGGTGAGTAATTAATGACAGAATTATAATTTTTGGGTGAACTAACCCAAAATAATAACAGCAATTTCCAGTAATGCAAACTACTCAAATTTTTTCTCAAATTTGGCCGTTTGGAATTGAAAAATTGGTATCATTTACTTGATTCATGTAATATCTTACTGAATGTAACAATATAAGAAACGTTTTGGGTTTTTGAAATATTAGATATACAAATAAGATGTGCATATTTAAAAAAAAAAAATTGCTAATATTTAATAAATTTTAATCAGAATCATCTGCTGTAATTAATATACTTACAGCAGATATTCAACTGAATATTTTATATTCGGTTTCTTGAATTTGTGAAAATTCGTATTTTTAATGCATTCAAACATTTATATATTTATCAGTGTTTGTTTTTACTTTATAAGGTCCTTAGAAAATGTATAAAAAAATTAAAATAAAAAAAACCTCACCTTCCCAGTAACAGCAGACCATACTTTGAGCGTGTTGTCGTCTGAGCCGCTCACAATGCAGTTTCCACAGAACTGGAGACAGGTGATGACATGATCGTCATGGCCTTTCAACACCTGAAAACAGAGGAGAGAAAAAGAGGATTAATTAGAAAATGAACAGAAATGCTAGTATTACAGTGATGCGCAAGAACAACGTGATGCTGCTGATGCTGGCAAATGACACAGCAGCTTTCAATTACAGGAACCAACAGGTTCATGGTCACCATGGTAACAACCGAGTCAGGTAAAACGCTGCTTCATGAATAACCCAAAATCCCTATTTTCTGGCACCCACTGTGCCGTCAAGAGGACTTAAGTTGCTCTTTTCAGGGTCTTAAACATTTCAGTTCCCCAAGTGATGCACTGATGGGCGTCTCTCAGAAGGATTTCCAAATTAGATAAAGACTTCAAGCCATAAAAAGCAGTTTAAGGGTGATTAAAGCGATTTAATATTATGCCTTACAGTAACAAGGAACTAGAAAAATGAAATGTAGGCATGTTGAAATGAAATGTCTTTCCGAAAGTGGGGTTTTAAATGTTTTTGAAAGCATCTAAACGCACATCAAGACTGCATTTATTTGATAAATACAGTAAAAACAGTAATATCTGTGAAATATTATAACCGTTTTCTATGTGAATATCTGTTAAAATGTAATTTATTGCTGTGATCAAAGCTGAATTTTCAGAATCTTCAGTGTCACATGATCCTTCAGAAATCATTCTAATATGCTGATTATTATTAATGTTGAAAACAGTTGCGCTGCCTGTTGGTTTTTTCAGGATTCATTGATGAATAGAAACTTCAAAAGCACACAATTTATTTGGAGCAAAAATTACTTGTAACATCTCTTTACTGTCACTTTTGATCAATTTATTGCATTCTTGTAATAAAATAAAACTAGTAATTTATTCAAAAAAATCTTACTGACCCCAAACTATTGAATCGCACTGTATATATAGTTAAAATCATATATTTATCAAATAAAGATTATATTCTATATTTAATGTATGTATATTCATACGCACTTCCTGTGATGTATTAATGCACACTTGTTCCCTGTGCCATTTGCAGTGCCTTGCAGACTGAGCATAAACACTTGCAATCTCATTTAAAACAGGTGTATATCCTGCTATCAGGGAATGCACCCATGAAGTAAGAGTGAGAAGAAGCAGTGAACACCACAGCTACCTTAGGTGATTTGAGGTCTCCTCGCCTCCAGTTGGTGTCTATTCTGTGTTGTCTAATATAGGCACTCTTCCAGGGGCTGTGTGTGAACCCTGGCTTGATAACCTTCCTTCTCTTTATGTGCAAGGGCTCGTCAATACCTGCAAAACAGACGTGACACTAATGATTCAATGCATGATTCTACTCTGAGGCAACTATTCAATATACATGTGCATGAATTTCCAAAGCCACAGAGTTGGTGGAAAAGCACCTTCTTCTTTGCATTTCTCCCTCCAGAGCAGGTTGTCCTCTGCTAGGATGCGCCAGTAACGACATGTCTGAGCTGCCTGAAGCAGATCCTTTGGCTCCAGAAATGACAACACGTGTAAGGCCAACTACAACACAAGACAGACAGAAAAACAATCAGGAGAGCGTGAGGGAGGTTGGAAGAGTAGGCTACAACAGGATAAATATTTCTGCCAAAATGTTACATTTATTATTTTCATTTATTTTTTTAACACCTTGTCAGCAGTAAGGCTATCTTCATGGCGAAAACAGAATAAATAACAAAACTCATACAATTAACAAGAAGCTATATAAAGACATGTAAGATTAATACTAGACAAAAAAATCTGAAATGTATTCAAGGTGATACTTTTTTAAATCCCCCAAAATGTTAAATAGCAAAACAAATAAATAAATGTAAATAATGAAAAATAATACTAATATAATGAGAAATCATTATAACACTGATAATAATAATTATTATTATATTTTTGATAGGATTTTAGGTAAAAACATATGCAATTATGAAAGCCTTATAGAAGTGGTTAAACAGAACATTGGGTAAATGAAACTAATTTTAATTAAGTATGTTCTTAAATGATATTTCAATTGATAGAACATGTATAAAATTTAAATGTATACATTTTTTGATAAAATAAAATCACATCAAATTGCTACATAAAAAGCACTTTCATATGGTGACAAACATTGTCATCACTACTGATAATCTAACTGATAATATAACAAAATATATTACAAACTAACACCTAAACTATCACCAGCCCCCATGAATTGAATAAAATATATATATATTTTTTTTTTTTTGGAAAAGGAAAAAAAATAAATAAATAAAAATCTGTAAGTAGGTAATTTTTTTTTATTTAACCCTATTAAGGTAATTTTTTCTGTTCTCCCATTTTCAAGTGCACTGCAACTTTGCAAAAAGCTGAGGGAAGACAGAGCATGTCCAAACAGTTCAACCATTCCTTGTGTGATCCTGAGACTCCAGAGTGTGTACAGTATTAGCCTAGAGGAGCTTTTTCCACAATCTGCTTCAATCAGGCAGAGAGACAGACAGACACACACTGACACAGAAGAAAAACAGCCTGATGGGGAGGAGAGCCAGGAAAGGGGCAGACGAGATGACAGGTGAAGGAGAACAAGAAAGGCAAGCTGAACCAGTGACAGGAAGAAGAGAGGATGAAAGGAAGAGAGGGCAGAGAAACGACGGGGTAGATTCCTCTCTGTATTCCTGAAAAGAAGCTGAGAGAGTTGTAACATCTCTCTGAAGAGGTGTAAGAGAGGACATGCTTGTCAACTGCACTCCAGCACTTATACGCTCTAAAACCACCGTCAAACATCACAGCCATAAAGTGCAAGACTGTGCTAAAAAGAAAATGAAGAGAAATGAAAAGGTCTGTTTAGAGCTCAGGGCTTCAGTAGTTTCACTGATGTGAATGTTTTTGGAAAAAAAAAAAAAAAAAAGATTGAAGGTTTATTCCTAAACCTAACCTACGAATGATATTATCATACAAATTAGCCAATAATTTAACGTAACAGATACAAACTGCCATGAGAGTGTGTTGGACTGATGAACACTGAGTTCGACATCTTTTCGGTATTTTTCCTATTCATTTTCCATTTTATTTTTTAACAAAGTGTTAGATATAAGCCATAAAGCAACCAGCAAGGTGAATCGCGACATCACAAATTTTGTGTGAAATGTGTGAAAATCGGACAGAAAGGTAGACTAAGGTAGAAGAGTGCACTTAAAGGCTTTAACGAGTCCATCAAAATTATCATAATTAAATGGATAATTATAAAAACGGATTTAAAAATGCAGATTATAAACATAAAACAATTAGTGCTGTCAAACGATTAATCACGATTAATCGCATTCAAAATTAAAGTTTGGTAACACTTAAGAATAGGGAACACTTATTCACTATTAACTACGACTTTTCCCTCAATAAACTCCTAATTTGCTGCTTATTAATAGTTAGTAAGGTAGTTGTTAGGTTTAGGTATTGGGTAGGATTAGGGATGTAGAATAAGGTCATGTAGAATAAGGCATTAGTATGTGCTTAATTACTACTAATAAATGCTTAATATTCTAGTAATATGCATGCTAATAAGCAACTAGTTAAGAGACCCTAAAATAAAGTGTTACCAAAAGATTTTGTTTACATTATATATGTATGTGTACTGTGTATATTTATTATGTATATATAAATACACACACATACAGAATATATTTTGAAAATATTTACATGTTTATACATTTATATATTCATATTCTTATATTTTATATAAATATATTTAATATATAAACAACATTTTTCTGAAATATATACATGCATGTGTTTGTATTTATATATACACATAATAAATATGCACAGTACACACACATATATTATGTAAACAAAAACTTTTATTTTGGATGCGATTAATCGCAATTAATCGTTTGGCAGAATCATGGGTAATGCAGTTTTTCCATCAGGAATTCCACTGTTAAGCTTGAGTATTTAAAAAATAAGTTGAAATAAGTGGGTTGATGGCTTCAACAAAAGCATTCATTAACAACCTCGTCACTTAAAGCAGGCACGAATTTAACGGTTTATAAGTTATTGTTAAAAATCAGTTGCCCTATGGAGAAAATGAATGTGAACCCGACTGCTGCATTCTATTAGACACAAATTGGTTACACTTTACTTGAAGGGGTGTGCATAAGACTGACATGACACCTACATAATCATGACATGACACATGTCATGAATAGGAAGGTTTTTTATGCATTAATTGTCATTAAGTGTCATTTGCTCAGTTATGTAATTTTTAATGCAAAGATGACATTGTTTGAGATGTCTTTGTTATGGGCTGTGGTTAGGGGTAAGGGTAGGGGTAGGGTTAGGTCAAATAATGTCATATTTGCATTAAAAATGACATAACTGAGCGAATGACACTTAATGACAGTTGTCATAAACATGCATAAAGACCATGTATCATGTCATGATTATGAAGGTGTCATGTCAGTCTTATGCACACCCCTTCAAGTAAAGTGTTACCCACAAATTTGTCTTAATCTAGCCATATCTAATCTGATTGGCTGACTATGCAACTTCTACACAAAGAGCACACTACTAGCTAGGAAACAAGTTCTGTTTACAAGGTTCATACAGCACTTTTGAGGATGAAATAAGTGCCCAAGTTTGCTAAGTTAGTGGCATCAAAACTTGAATCAGTGATAATCAGTGTTTCTGCAAATTTCTCAACAGTGCTGTGTGTGAGTGCTTTACCTCTCTGGGCAGAAGCGAGATGAAGTCTCTCTGAAACTGTGGTTCGATCACCTGCATCATGTGCTTCACCTGCGTTGGCTCACAGCTGTCAATCAACTCATCCAGCGCGAGCAGCTTCTCTGGGCCACTCCAGCTCTGTAACACACACCAAAAACATAGAGCCATCCATTTACACTTAGAGCTTTAGATTTACATTTCAGTTAGGGCTGGCGATGCTTTTTCACTGGCTCTACAGCAGCAAACCGTCTCCTGAAACGGTAACTTCTGGCATGAACGTAACCGAGAAGTTTCTCGTAAGTCTTCATGTCTTGAGGCTGTTGGAAACTTCCCAGGGTTCGTTCTCCCATATTACACTGCGGTCAACTTCATCCAGTTGAATAAAATGTTTCGCTGATCTCATGGTGCTCGGAACGTAATAAAGCACCATAATTTACTGCTCAAGTTCGGCGTTGTTGTACAGGCTGGTTTATGTCTATAAGTGTATAACTGCCTGTTTTAACAGCTCAAAATAATGAGATTCCATTAAACAGTTGAGGGAAACAATTGTGTTGGTTCTTTAATCGAAGCAAACTAATTAAACTAAGCCTGAGATCAGCACAGGCTTCCCAAACTTTATCAAATGAATTTCCATTATTTTTCAAAGTCATAAGCATTTTTAAAAATCATTCTATAGATAATGCACTTACAAAGAGCAAGTTTAGAATATAGCGGCAATGACGGGCCCAAGCCATTATTAATCCTAGTTAATTTTAAGTTCAAAACTTACTTGCATTATATATTAATATAATATATTGTTCTTTGTTAGTTCATGCGAGTTAATGCATTAACTGATGTTAACAAATGAGACATTGTAAAGTGTTACCAAACCTTTTAATGATCTATAAGCATTTGTGAAATAATTATATAAAACTATATTACCAGTACAGTACATATTAACTTAATTTATGTGTTTGTTTGTCATTCTAACTAATGGAAACTGTGTAGTACAGGATCAGGCTTAAACAATTTCTTATCCTATAATAAGAACCTTAATGTTAGAGCCTTCATCTGTCAGCTGAAATTTCTGATAGTTTTTAATTTGCTGTTTGCCCCCAGAAAGGGTAACTCTAGAATATCAAGAGTGTGAAACAGATACACACACAGAGAGGGTAGGATATAGAAAACTTTCAATGACCTATAATAATTTTAAAATGATTTTAATGATCTATAAGCATTTGTAAAATAAATGGCTCCACGCCCATTTATGAGCTTTTGCCAGTGTCTAATTATCACTAATACTGATGTGTGTGTCGAGTTTCATGAAATTCTAAGCATGTTAAAACACCTGAAAAGAATACTCAAGTTTGACATGTTGCCATAGCAACAGTATTTAAGATATCAAGAATCTGCCAAGTTTGGACATGATTCTGAAGTCTGAAAAAATAAATAAAATAAAAAATAAATAAAATAATCCTTAGAAGAACAATAGGGCAAGTTAAATAATAATAATAATAATAATAAGCATTTATTCAAAATATAAATATTTTCTAACAATAAAAGTCTTTACAGTCACTTTATCAATTTAACACATCCTTGCTGAATAAAAGTATTTATTTCTTTCAAAAAAAGAAAGAAAAAAATGTAGTGATCCCAAACCTTTGAATGAAAGTGTATATTGTAACAAAAGATTTCTATTTTAAATAAATGCTGTTCTTTTTTTACCTTTATTCATCAAACAATGCTGAAAAAAGCAGAACAGTTTCCAAATAAAACAGTAAGCAGTGCAACTGTTTCCAACATTGATAATAAATCAGCATATCAGAATGATTTCTGAAAATCATGTGACACTGAAGACTGGAGTAATAATGCTGAAAATACAGCTTTGACCACAGGAATAAATTACATTTTAAAATGTATTAAAATAGAAAACATTATTTTAAATTGTAATAATATTTCACAATATTACTGTTGATCAAATAAATGCAGCCTTGATGAGCATAAGAAACATCTATAATAACCTTTTTTTTTATTTTAAATCACATTTTTAACATTCACTGCCAGGATTCCATGTATACAAATATGACAAGGTTGCAATTCTAGCGGCTGAATTCAACCCTGAACACACAGAACTGCCACAAAGATATATCACCGCAGGCTTAGAATGCAGAAATGAGACGTTTAATGTGAATCCCGTAAGCGATACTGAAGCAGTGAAGCTGCTGACTCACAGGGATGCAGGGTGTCATTTGCACCTCCAGAAATAAGCCTTACAATAACTCAGGACACAAAGCAAGCAACTCATCAAGCACTGACTGTGCAAATAAACAAAACCCTTTCTGAACCCACAGACAGACCACAACTGAGAGGATGTTATACATGCTGCTTCTGTCCGCAGCCTTGATGAGCAAAAGAACCTTCTTTAAGAACCTTTTTTTTTATTTTAAATCACATTTTTAACATTCACTGCCAGGATTCCATGTATACAAATATGACAAGGTTGCAATTCTAGCGGCTGAATTCAACCCTGAACACACAGAACTGCCACAAAGATATATCACCGCAGGCTTAGAATGCAGAAATGAGACGTTTAATGTGAATCCCGTAAGCGATACTGAAGCAGTGAAGCTGCTGACTCACAGGGATGCAGGGTGTCATTTGCACCTCCAGAAATAAGCCTTACAATAACTCAGGACACAAAGCAAGCAACTCATCAAGCACTGACTGTGCAAATAAACAAAACCCTTTCTGAACCCACAGACAGACCACAACTGAGAGGATGTTATACATGCTGCTTCTGTCCCGAGACGCCTTCGAACAAACTGGCCTTTGACGTCATGAAGGAACTTTTAGTCAACACGGGTATCTGCTGTTTCATGCCAGAGCAGCTTCGTTAAGCCCGAGGACTGATCAAGCCTGTAATTACCTGCAAGGCACAGCAAACACTGACTGAGGTGGAGCCTCTGCTCTCTGTCGAGGCTTGAACTGTTGCTCTAGTAAGACGCATATGACAAGGATCTAGATAGTTACAAACCTGTTGCATGATGGCCGCATGTGCTTAAATATCTAGCATAGATTCAGTCAGATCTTAGTACCAGAAGTAATCAATGCATTAAAACCAGACTGCAGCAAACGTTGTGTTCCTTAGAAGACCCTGCACATGACATGCAAAAGTAAAAATAGATTTCATGGCCACCAATTTGAGATATCGTGGTCGTCCCAAATTGTATTAATTTGTGGCCACATTTTATTATACCATTCCCTTGTTTTAGTTTAATCATGGTCACATTGTACTAATTGTTTCTTCGTTTTAGTTTAGCTGACATAGAGGGAAAAAAACTCAAAATGTCATGGCCATGATTTGAGAATCCATTCCCACTAGGGATGTGCGATATTGACAAAAAATGATATCTTGATATTTTTTGTGATTTTTTTTCGATAATGGATAACTGTACCTGTGTTAATGAGCGATTCACTGGATCATTCATTCAAAAGATTTGTTCAAAATTGCTGATTCATTTAGAGAAGAAGTGACTTGATTTAAATGATTCATTCAAAAACAGATTCATTTAGAAACGAAACAAGTGTTGCTCTGAGACGCACAAATGTTCTGATCCGGCTTTGCTTAGAACTTTTTCACTGGCGAAACAGAAAAAACAGACACTATTGGGTCTAAAATGTAACTGACTCAATATTAACTTCTTGTTTCTGAACTGTTGTATAAAATCAGTATCACATTTGTGATCGTGCTCATATGCTGATATTCAGGAAAAAGGCACTCTTGATTGTGTGATATTACTCAACTATATCAAATCTTATAAAATCAAAACAAACCCACACTGGGAAATTTTGTTGCTTTCATAACTTGTATTACAGGTCATTCTGACTGCATTCTAATAGGCTTCATCACACAGTCAATGCTTTTGGACTCTCAAGACGAGTTTTTGTTTGTTTTTTGAGGGACATACTCTATAATGTCAGCTCGCACGTCATTAAAACAACAATTAACATATTATTGTAGAGGATGAATATCACACACCCCTAGCTCCCACATCTTTATTCATTTCCTTGTTTTAGTAAAATCGTGGCCATGTTGTACTAATTGTTTAATTAGTAAATAAATAAGTCATGCAAAGTCATTTTTCTCTGCATGTGAGTGAAAGTGAAAGTGACAGTGACAGTAATAAGAAGTATTGTTAATATTATTATGTACATATCATTACAGTATTTCTTGAACTTACATATGCCTAGAGAAACTGTGTTAGTGATTTTTACCATGATTATGGTTTTAGGCACCCCGCTTTGCACTATGTACTAGCTGTGAGTGTTCACCTGGTTAGCTTCATCTGTCCGGTCTGAACTCAGCTGTTTGGTTGAACTCACCTGAAAGGTGCGGAGCCACTCCTGCAGGCCTGTGGGGGGCTGGATGGACGTGATGCGCCGTCTCTGCTGACCCTGCCCATTGACCGCTCGAATGTCCCGAAACGTAGTGGGGGTGGCTGGGAACAGCAGTCCTGTGGGACTGGAGGATGAAAAAGACGAAAACTAATGAGCGGGGAAGAGACAAAATAACATTCTAAGGGCATTCTGGTGCAGAATTTATAACAAGTGACTCTGACATGAGGCATCTGTGTTGGGGTAATTCAAGAAAATGAAAAGGCCAGTGCAAGCCTGCAGTTTATGGAAGATTTCAAAACAAAATGGGTTGAAAATAAAGATCTGAGGCTGTGTTTCAGAACAATAGTTTGAGAATTACAGCCAAAACCAAAGTGGTGAGTTGGACTGAATGGGTGCCAGATGAGCACCATTTACCTCAACCTCAGAACTCAATCAGTCAGTCAGCATGATTTTATTCAGCCACCTGCCCCCAAATCAATTCAATCAGATGTTTCATTCATGGAAACCCTTTTCTGTTGACCTTCTTCAATATTTTAGAGTCCATGTAAAACATGCTCAAAAGCATTTAATGCATGCAAACGATTAACAACTGAAGCACATTCCCTTTTCCACTTGTGGTGACAGAGTTGTCCCATGTCAGCAGTCCTTACAGTCTCTGGGGCCCTACACTAACACCAAAAAGACGATTCAGCACTCCTTCCTTGCATTCTGCTTATCTACGGATACCTTCTCCGGTGCAAGAAACCAACGGATGCGGAGGAGAGAGGGAAGAGCGCAGGCGAGCACGCAGTGAGGTCCGTTTCATAATGGATTCATATTTAATGGGATCTGAGACCAAGATGCTTCAATTTCCCAGCACGCAACTGCTGCCTGGTTGCTCGTGTACTGTTCTAATATAAACCACAAGAACACCTGCGCCTTGACAATAAGGCATGAACACCCGTGAGAGCTGACGGCTGAGCTTGGGTTTGCCAACTGAGGAACCTCTCGGGAGGCGATTGCATGTGGTATCACATTGACGGTGTCATTTCTGAACCATTAGCGGCACCAAAATAAGCTAGATTTGCCCTTTTTTTAGGTATATATTACATCTTGCAAGGCAAAAAACAAAGTGTTTAAGCTTCAGGTGAGCTTTGGAGTGTAAAGCTGGCTAGATTTTTAGATGGATGCATGAAAGAAAAGACCAATCATAATTCTGTATGCAAATAAATGTTAAAAATGTCATCAAATTTGTGATTTAAGTAAAGAAAAAAAAACAGAATTTATGAATAAAGCTACATTTTCATCCCATGTGTTCAAAAGAACAACATTATCATTTCTGTGGAAATTTATGCAAAACTGGGAAAGCAGTTGCATCCCTTTTATAATGAAATACTTGTGGTTTAAAGCTCACGGACAAAACACTCTGACGAACGTTGTGTTTGTTAGCAATCAAGGGCAGATTCCTCATGTCTGTGTGTCAGACCGCAAATTATTCAAATCACATGACATTTTTGATGCACATGAAGGAATTAATTCTGTATGTTTCTCTAATATTTTATGTGCATGTGTTACTTTCATCTTTTTCCCCACCTCACTTTTTATTAGCATCTTAAGAGTTTCCATCCAGCACTTTTTATGTGACATACTAAAATTTGCATAAAAACATGTGGATGGAAACCAGGCTAATGGGGATTTTCACATTTTTAAAATATATATATACACTATCATTCAAAAGTTTGGGATCGGTAAGATTTTTTAAATATTGTGAAAAAAAAATTCTCATGCTCAAAAAGTTTGCATTTATTTAATCAAAAACAGTTAAAACTGTAATATTCTGAAATATTACTACAATTCAACATAACTATTTTAATATCCTACTTTAAAATCAAAGCTGTATTTTCAGCATCATTACTCCAGTCTTCAGTGTCACATGATCTTCAGAAATCATTCTAATATGCTGATTTGCTGCAATATTTTCAATATTGAAAAAAAGGTTGTGCTGCTTTTTTTCCCCTTTTCTCTGTGATAAGTGATACAGGACTCTTTAATGAATAAAATATTGAAAAGAACTTTCGATGTTCTTTATTAGCATGCATACTTGAAAAATTGAAAATTAGCATGCATAAGCAAATATGGCCTTATGAGCATATTTTAGATCCCTTAATCCTAAACCCCATACCTAAATGTAACAACTACCTTACTAACTATTAATAAACAGCACATTAGGAGTGTATTGAGGCAAAAGTTGTAGTTAATAGTGAGAATTGGACCTTGAAATAAAGTGACCGAACTTTCTTTTGTAACATTAAAAATGTCTCTACTGTCACTTGTAATCAATTTAATGCATCCTGGTATTAGTATTATTTTTTTATTACATTTAACTAAAATATTAAAAATCTTACAAGATCTATAAAAAATAAAATAATAACATTTAAATAAATATAATCTTTATCAATAAAGAAAAATCACGAATCATACAAAAACAACTATGGCTGTTACTGTACACTTAGGTAGATGTGCACATAAAATGCAATGCAACATGGGCTAAATATCTTGCTAGCTTCAGGTCAGGTGGCAGGAGCTTTACCTTGGACAGGGCTTTTTTCCTGAAGGGAAAGATCGAACCTCGGGGCCATGGTCCAACTTCCTCTTCATCTGCAACAAAGAGCAGGTGGAGCGCTGGTTAGTTTGGGTTTGTAGAGGACATGACAATAATGATGACCAGCCACATAAACAACCAGCGAAGCAGCTTGACAGTAAACGTTACTGATCCACCGGTGTTCGTTCCTGTGTTAAGAGGTGTGTGTGTGTGTGTGTGTGTGCTAATTCCCTCACCACCAAATGTAGGCCAGAGGAAGGAAGGTCATGTGCACTTTATAGTGACACAGCACAGAAAAGATCAAGTCTGACAGCTGATGCTAACGCTTGTCATGCGAGTCTTCAAAGAGGTGTATGGCATAAACACACAAACACACACCCCTCATAGGAGTTGGAAAGGGGGGCACATACAAACAAACACGCATCTGTGTGGGCGTGACAGGCACTGTGCTTTCACAACAGCCTAAATTTATATGGGCATAAAGGAAATAAAAGCAACCCTATATGCTTCACTGTCTCTGTAACCCACGCCCCGCACAGGCTGAAACCGCTCTGGTTTTGCTGCATAGTTGGTGCCTGGCTACGGAGCATCTACTCTGGAAAAACAAGGGTTCAGTGTCCTCAACACAATGAGCTCCTAGAGCACATTTGAATTAAACTATTTTAGGAGAGTACAGGGCTGCCAGTGAATCTGTGCAGTTCACTTTCAGGAGGAGCTCAGCGATAGACTCCAAGTTATGAATCGTTGTACCGGTGCCAAGGGTTTGTGAGTCATTAACGATGTGAGCAGAAATGAAGACTTTCACTACTGAAACACACACATGCCGTTTACAGTGCAGTTACGTATCATGTCACTGGTAAATAACAGGTCTGAAATGATATCCAAATCACAATGACATTGTGCCTGTAAGCAACATTCAGTGGTTATAGTTATTAGTACTGTATACTAATAACTATTTAAAAAAAAGTCTCATCTCAAAAAGTCTCTAAAACAGATTTAAGATTTCTTTTTAAGAAAGTGTGCACTGAACAAGCCACCAGAACACTGGCAAGCATTTGGCAGCAATTAATAGTTTTTATACATATAAATACTTAGATATTTAATACATATATTCAGCGCAGATGCATTGCATTGCTCAAAAGTGACGTTAAAGACTTCTACACTATTACAAACATTTTTTATTTAAAATAAATGTCTTTCTGTTGAACTTTATAATCTTTGATCACATTTGCCACAACTGATCTAGTGTCAGATGTGCCAGGTGTTTGATACGCTTGAGAGAGGTCGAGCTGAAAGGTGTGTCTGATAATGAAGCTCTGTCTGGATTTCTGAAGGCAACACATGCTGCGAGATTCACCGTAAATGAGGACCGGAGAGAAAAAACTAAACAAAAAGACAGATGAAGCCCTGCAGAAAAGTCCATAAGAGACTAAATAATTTTTTTTAAATCACAAAAATCATTTGAAAATTAATATTAAATGTTCTGATTATGTATTAACCCCTTCCATGCCAGCTATGTTTATTTACAGGACAGCTTGGCAAGGATCAGTTGAGCCAGTGATCTCACTGCAAAGTTAGTCAAACAGATAGGACAGGCAGGGAGTGTGAATATGCATGAATGAAGAGAAGATAGTAAAAAGATGGCATGACACTGAAGACGTATGAAAGTGAGCCTGTGTGTGTTCGAGAGTGTTAAGACTCTCTCAGGTTACTCCACACGAAACACAAAACACATAGGGAACGCCACACTTGCTAATCACTACTAATAGCTAAACCTGTCTAGACTACTTGGTGAAAAGCACTTAACACAAAACTGCGTGAATGAAGTAAAAGCATTCATTTGCTTAGTTATACATTCATTTGAGTGAGTGGATTAGACTGTCGCTTCTCTCTGGGGTTCACAGCGAGAGCCATCTGATTTTAGATGAGTCACTGTGTAATCATTCTCCATGTCTGACACCACCGAGCAAAAACGGCTCGGTCTGTGGTTAACAGGAATGCTTGTGTTCATGGAAACCGGTGCAGTCTTGGCAAATAACATGCATTAGTCAATAAATCCTGTGATTTATGAATGAAGAACCTTGCTATTCGTTTCAGAAAATTCTTAGATTGGTCACAGCTGCGCATTTAGCTGAACTCCGTGCATTTTAGACTATTTAAGTGTGCTGTACTTCATAAATAAAACCCTAAAAGTCATGGAAGTTAAACTGCAAGAAATCAAAGACTGAGTACAGTGAAGCTTAGGCATAAAATCTCATGATCTATTGTCACATTTTTGCCTAACATCAAATATCCTTAATGAGCTTTGTTTTTGTAACCAAACAATTAAGGAGATTGCCTGGAGCATCCGTCAACTTCACTGTACTTCAGTCGATGCTGTTCTGATCAGAGGACACCCTGGAAACTGCAGTGACTGAGTGCGTCTGATAAGCTCTTAACACTCGTTTCACTCAAATATAAAGTTTCGGGACAGACGTGGCATCAAAAGCAATGACACAGTGACCCAATCAGTGTAGGGTGGCCTGAAGCTCTAGGATAGTCGTGACTGGACGTTCCACGTTAACATGACTACAGTGAGGGAGCCCAGATATTGTTTCTGCTGCATATCAGCTGCAAAGCACAAATTAATATTACCAACAGGTTTGCTCTGGAAGATGAGTATCAAATACCACAGCATCAAACTATCAAATCAGAGTCAATTGCACATCAAAAACATGCGATCAAATAAATCAGCTATACAAGTAAAGAAGGATGCAGTGCTGCTGAGATGTACAGGGGACGGATAGATATGTATGATGTAGGGAGCGCAGGTGCAGTGTGTGTGTGTGTGTGTGTGTGTGTTAGGATGGGCAGATGGTGGAGAAATAGTGATGGAGCCTATCTTCTCCAAACCCACCCCATAATAAGTGCATCGCATCCTTTTCAACATCTGAGCTTCTTGTCAAGGAGACTCAAAGTAGGTGAATGAATATCGCGGAAGGTGATTCTCTCAGTCAGCTGGAGATTTTTCCGCAGTGGCCGTAAGAACAGTCGCGTATTTCACCGACGCACCATTCAGAACGCGACGCGACAAACCCGAACGCCGGCGTTATCATCAACCAAGATGTGTACATTACACGGGCGCGCATTGCATTTGATATATTACACATCGCTGATGGGGTCGTATCGATATAAAAGCCGCAGTGCATCAGACACGAATAACGGCGTTTACTCACTTTATAGAAGATCATCTTTAAAGTGCCGTAGAAACCCATGGTGATGGTGATAACGATAATCCGGGTACGATTCACTGAGAGGCGATGAAGAATTTATGGAAATATATCTGCGTGAAAAGGGCTCTATTAATCCCGGATAGATCCGACAGGGACATACTCATCCACGGACGGATGCATGTGAAGCCGAACAGAAGAACCCAGCGACTCGCCCGTCTGTCTCATTGACCGTCCTCTGAGCGGACTGACTGAGCGAACAGAGAGAGAGAGAGGGGGAGAGAGAGAGAGAGAGA